TTAATATAACGTTGCCAATTTCTTTGTTCAGTAAAACTTAGTGGTTGATCTAATGTGGCTATTAATCGTGCCATTTCCATACGATCAACTTGCGGATCGTATTTCCACGTGCTTAGACCGCCGGTTTGGCGGTCAAACGATAATTGCGTTTGGCGGAGATCAGCTCCGCCTCCTTGCTTTTGAAGACACTTTTCAGAGTGTCTTCTTAAGTGTGTAGTGCTATGAATAGTGTTACCTTGTAATTTTTCACTACAATATTTACATTGAGCTACGTATTTAATGTTACCGTTATTGTCGACCTACTCGAATGTGTTGAAGTGCTCCCAAACTGCTGAGGTACGCTTGCATTTCTTTTTAGAACTTGCAACACTTGCACTAGCACTACCGCTTGTCTCTCCTTCACGGCCACTTGTGCGACCACCATTACGTTCCCGACCTCTAGTACGTCCACCAGGGGTTGGATTTGCAGTTTCATCAGCAACTCTTTTCATAGTTTGCAATTCCTGCGTTTGAAAAACATTAAGAAATTGCCCTTCTTCGATGTTGAATTGGGCATCAATGGGAATATTACCACCACAACCAGAAGAAGTCATTATGAAAAATAAGAGAGATTGAGAGCGCTTTGAAAGAGTTTAAGAGAGATCGAGATTCGAGAGAGATTTAAGCGATATTAAGAGAGATTTGAGAGAGATTTGAGAGAGATTAAGAGAAATTGAGAGAGAATGAGAGTTTTGGGGTGAGAAAAATAGTTGGGGGGAGGGGGGTTATTTATAGGAAATTTTTTGGATTGAAAAAATTTTTTTTTCCCCCAAAAATTCGGGTCCAACGGCTACAATTTTTTCGGACAGTTCGGGCAAAAATCGGGTAGGTCGGGCAACGGTAAGAAATCCGACCGTTGGGTTCAAATTTTCGGACAAAATTCGGGTTCGGGTCGGGTTCGAGCAAAAAGATCCGTTTTGTTCAAAATTCGGGCATTTTTCGGGCTAATGGTAAAAAAAAATCAGGCATTTTTCGGGCAACGGGCAAAATTCGGGCAATGGTCACAAAAAATCGGGCAACGGTCAAAAAAATTCGGGCAGTTCGGGCACAAATTCGGGCAAAAATCGGGCAACTTAGGGTATTGCCGGAAAATTCAAAAAAAATCCGGTGAACGGCGGGGGATGACTTCTCCACGGCGGCGGGCTGTCGAGGGGATTAATATTTTCGGGCTACCCGAGCCCGTGCTAGAAAAAAACAGTGGTCGGGCGGCGAGAGGGGCCTACTGATATAAGGGCCAATTGGAGTTAACTGCCAATGACAATAGTACACAGATTGAATTCATTTTTGCTACTAGAGCAAACGTTTCCTGGTAGTCAATTCCATAAGTCTGTATGAATCCCTTTGCTACGAGCCTCGCTTTATATCTCTCCAAACTTCCATTAGCTTTACATTTAATGGTAAATACCCACTTGCAACCAACGGTTTTCTTTCCTTTGGGCAGATCCACTACTTCCCACGTTCCACTTTTCCTAAGAGCATTCATCTCTTCCATCACTGCCAATTTCCAATCTGGATCACTAAGTGCTTCCTGAATGTTTCTTGGAACAATCAAGTGTGAGATTTTTGAAATGAAAGCCTTATAATTATGGGAAAGTTTGTGATATGAGAAATATTTTGCAATAGGATGAATGGTGTAAGAATTGGTTCCTTTTTTATGAGCTATAGGAATATCAAGATCCTAAGGTTGTATATCAATTTCATTAGACTTAGGAATAAATGATAAAGAAGGAGGAATGGATGGCAAAGTTTGAATTTGTGTACCTGATCCTTTTAGGAATTCATCACTCGGAGGCTTTGATTGATCTTTTGCTATGATAGTAGATGAATCTCTTCCCCTTTGATGATTTATTTTCTTGGAATAAACCAAAAGCTCTGAGTTAGATTCTCTTGGAATCATAGGTAGCATTTCTCCCCCTGTCGAAGAGTCAACTAAGTTTGACAAGCTTTGGTTAGGCACATCACTCTTATTCGGATCTTGTTTTGTAATGGGTGATGATTCAAAAGTAATTGGTTTAGGTAAAGGAGTTGGAAGAATCTCCCAAAAATTTTCTTCATCATGTTCCTTCTGCCCCTGAAGAAAATTGTTTTGAAAATAAGGTTGTTTTTCAACAAAAGTAACATCCATGCTAACAAACATTTTCTTCGTTGGTGGATTAAAACACTTGTATCCCTTTTTATTTGGAGCATATCCGATGAAAATACATTTTTCAGCTCTAGGGTCAAGTTTTGATCGATTTTACCTAGCAAATGTACAAAAACAGTGCAGCCGAAAATCTTTAAAGGAAGGTTGGATTGAAGTCGTGTTATTGGATTGAAGTCGGATTGCTTCTTAAAATACTCAATCGGAGTAGTATAGTTTAGAACATGAGTAGGCATTCTGTTGATTAGAAAACAGGCTTTTAAAATGGCTTCTCCCCATAAATATTTAGGAGTATGCATTGAAAACATGAGAGCACGAGAAACCTCAAGTAAATGTTTATATTTTCTCTCAGCAATGCCATTTTGCTGAGGTGTATCAACACAAGTGGATTGATGATGAATCCCTTTTTTTTAAAAAAAATTCCCTAGCACTTCATTGAAATATTCAGTGCCATTATCAGTGTGGAGTATGCAGATTTTTGTTTGAAATTGAGTTTCAATCATTGCATAAAAATTCTTAAAAAGATTTTCAACTTCTGATTTTTCACGCATTAAGTAGACCCAACATAAACGTGTGTGGTCATCAATGAAAGTAACAAACCATCTTTTGCCAAACATTGTTTTGATCCTCGAGGGACCCCACACATCACCGTGGATTAAGTAAAATGGCCGTGAGGCTTGATAAGATTTCAAAGGATAACTAGAACGATGACTTTTTGATAAAATGCAGTTTTCACAATAAAGGGATGAACAATCCAATCCTTTAAACAAATCAGGAAACAATTTTTCTTAGATAAGGGAAACTAGGGTGCCCTAGCCTATAGTGCCAAAGCATTATTTGATCTTTAGTAGGGATAGAACCGATGCTACTCAAGCCTTGAGCTTTTTTATTATTGGAAATTCCATCTTCAAAGTAGTATAGACCATCTACCATCTTAGCATTGCCAATCATCCTCCCTGAGTTCTGCTCCTAAAATTCACAGTGGGATTCAAAGAAATCAACACGGCAATTAGAATCGCTGGACAATTTACTTACATATAGGAGATTGCAAGCAAGTTTTGGAACGTGAAGTACGGATTTGAGTGTTATATTTTTTGTTAAGTTGATCAAACCTTTTCTCGCAATGGGTGAAAAAGAACCATCAGCTATCCTGATTTTTTCTATGCCAGAACAAGGGACATAAGTATGAAACAAATGTGAAAAACTGGTCATATGATCAGATCTCCTGAATCATTGTCCAAGGAGCAGAACTCAGATTTAAATGACAGAATAGGGCATTTGGTTCACTACTTGACTGAGCCAGAGAAGCATTTGGAGTACCAGATGATCCAGTGTTGGATTTCAGCAGCTTCAGAAGGTGATCCATCTGCTCTTTGCTAAAGGGAACAGTGGAGATAGCTTTTGCTTCATGTGCAGAGGGAGACCGGTTGAATTTTCGGTTGTCCTTCCAATTTGCTGGCTTCCCGTGAATCTTCTAGCAATTTTCACGGGTGTGACGAGGCTTATTACAATAGTCACACCATACACGGGGTTTCTCTTCATTCTTTCTCGGAATAGCCCTTCTCACGTTTGCCTCCGATGCAATCAGTGTTGAGTTTTCAATGGGACTGCTTGACGCCTTTTTCCCGAGCATAACAAGCCGCTTCAAAGTATTGAAGTACTTTGTAATGCTGTCATCTCCTTGGCGGATTTCACCAAGCTTCAGCATGATCTCAAAAATCTGAGACTGGTTTCCCATATTTGAATACATCTGGTTGACATTATCCCAGAGTTCCTTAGCTGTGTGGTAGCACATATAGTTCGAGCTTATATCCTCCTCCACGGAATTCACCAGCCATGTCATCACTATTGAATTCTCCGCATCCCAGACAGAGTGTGTGGGATCGTCACTTGAAGGCTCCTTCTTGTCTCCAGTCAAATACCCGATCTTACCTCTGCCACGGATATACATCCGAACAGACTGTGACTAGCGCAGGAAATTGTCTCCATTTAGTCAGATGGTGGTAATTTGGACAGAATGTGAGTTCGAATCAGGATTCGAGTGGGTTGAGGATTCGGACACTTTTGGTTGGGTGACGGATGATGGAGTGGTTTCTGAATTGGCATCAGCATGGTGTTTTTTTTTTTTTCTTTTGGTGGTAGATGGCTTAGGGTTTTTTAGGAAATCAGAGATGGCTCTGATACCATATAAACGCAGGTAATGGGAAGAATGAATTGTATTGAATAACCTTTACAGAATGCACACTTAAATAGAATTACAATGGGGAACAAAAAAGGAAACTAGCTAAATTAGCCTATACTGATTTCTTTCCTGATTTCTAGTAATTTGACTAATTCTAATCTTTCCATATTTACATACTAATTCAATCCCTGGCACCTATTGCCTTTAATCACCGAATATTTCTACAATACTAGTCTAATCAAATCACTCCTAGAAATCATAAACTAATCTGCAAGAAAGGAAAGAATAAAATACAGCTAATATACAAAAGTCAATCCAAGATTTACTCGGATTTGTCCTAGTCATTAGGTAATCAACTTAGGATTTCCACACAACGCTAATGGATCTAATACAACAATGTGTCAATTTCATCTAATGATGTTAACTGTGCTGGTGAAAAGGAAATTATAGGGAAGAGAAGGCTTTAATTGTAGTGCTGACCTTTTACCCTGTCATTAATTTGATTAAAAGAAAATAAGGTATTGAGTCGTTTAACTGGCCTTAAATTATTACTGTATGACTTTCAGTTGCGACCTCTTTTATCTACTTTGGTCCTTTCCTTAATATGGCTTTCTTATCTCTCTTTTGATAATTTTTCAGCTTGGTTGCGGTCATGGACTTCCTGCAATCTTTGCATGCCGTGAGGTGAAGTTGACTTGATTCTTGAATTCTACTTCAATGTTCTAACTAGCTGTTGTAAGCTTCTTCTTTTGTTGCATTAGGGTGCTGCTGCTGTTCATTTCCAAGACTTTAATGCTGAGGTCCTTAAATGCCTTACTATACCCAATGTAAATGCAAATATCGAGAAAGTATCTCAGCTTTTGAAAGCAAATGCGACAGATTGTGAGTCAGGGACAGAAGTTCGTTTCTTTGCTGGTGACTGGAGTGAAATCGATAAACTTCTTTCTTATGCACGTGACACTAACAAGGAAACTGATTGTAGTTCAGGGAATGGTCTAGATCATGGGTATGATATAGTTTTAATGGCAGAGACAGTCTATTCCACGACCGTTCTCCAAAGACTTTATCAACTTATAAAAAAGGTATTCCTTTATCAAATGAATCCTACTAATGTTTGTCTTTTTATATAAACGTATAGTTTTAGGGCATGTTTACTTTGCATCAAAGGGAAAGGGAAAGCGAGTAGTGATTCCCCTTTCCATCTAATAATGCGATTACTAACAAAATTAGTAATGGAGATTTATTAGGCCCCACACAATATAGGGAATGAGGAAAGAAAATGTCAATCCTTGAACCCCCTTTAGTGTTGATTCCTTGTGATAGAACAAGAAGCTACCACACAAATTTAGAGCAAATATGCAAGAAAATTGATTGATCAAGCTGAAATCCGATATTGCTATTGAGAAAATTAGGAAAAAAGTACAAGATATGGGGGTTTTCGAGTGACCCCTTGTACTCCCTAGAGCAAAGCTCGGCTAATTTCTCTCCAGCAAGATGATCGATGCCTTCTTCGCTCTTCCTTATCCTATTTATTCCAATTACTAACATTCCCTGACCGAAAAGCCTCAGCACCTAATTCCAAACTTCTAGGCAAAACTAACAAACTAACTCCTCCAATCCCCTTCCTTTCATGTGCCAACTCAGCCCTCCTCCTAACCACTAGCAGAGATGTTCTCATGTGCTGCAGCTGCACCCCCATCTCCTGCTCCTGCGGGTTTCTACCCATGAAATCTCTTCCTAGCATAAGTGAATCGCAGGGGAGGCTTATCATTACCCCCGTCCCCAAGACTCACCTTGTCCTCAAGGTGGAAATGAGGGAACTGCCTGTCGATCGCCTCAAAAGACTCCCATGCATCCTCATGTTAGGCAGATGAGCCTAACGAATCAACACCTCCAATTCAGAATGTCCTTCCCGCACACGTTGGCGCACAGCTAGTAAGACAACAGGCTCAGTGTGCAACTCCAAGTCCCCTATGAGCTGAGGTGGTAAAATGGCCACGGGCTGATCCTGTCCAATAGCTCGGCGCAGTTGGGAGACATGAAACACAGGATGTATAGCGGGCCAACACGGGCCGTGATCTGAAAAGTGCTGTAGAAGCGATGACCTAGCTTCTCATTGTTGCGACGTGCCAGAGATTTTTGTCGGTAAGGACGAACCTTGAGGTACACCAATCCCCCAACCATAAAGTGAACGTCCCTTCTCTTGCCATCGGCCAAAGTCTTCATCTTTTGCTGAGCGCGGAGTAGGTGATGCTTCAGTAAGTCCAACATAGCATTCCACTCCATAAGCTGCCTCTCGACCGAGTCCACTGAGGAAGCTCCCATGCCATAGCGCAACAGAGGGGGAGGAGTGCACCCATACATCACTTGGAAAGGGGTTGTTCGAGTGGCAGTATGAAATGAAGTATTGTACCCAATACTCCAACCATGGCAACACCTTGTTCCATTGCCCGGGCTTATCAGATGTAAAGCAACGTAAGGAAGTCTCCACGCACCTATTGAATACTGTAGTTTTGAGAGAACTTTTCTTGTATTAGTTGTGCCAAAACATGGCTATATTATATATACACAAGGATACACGGTATATATGTTGTCATTACAGCTGTGATTATAACAGAAAAAAGAAAACAAATCACCTATTCAAAATAGCAAACTAATTACACATTAATTCTAGGAAGTCAACTATCTACTTTCCTAAAATATACAAAACATATCCGGATTCTTTCCTAATCTCCAATATCCAGATTCTTTCCTATTTTCCAAGACTCCCCCTCAAGCTGGAGAGTATACATCTTTCATTCCTAGCTTGGAGATAATTCCTTGGAATGCTGTGTTATCTAGGCCCTTGGTGAGTACATCTGCGAGTTGACTCTTGGTCGAGCTATATGGAGTACAAATCAGTCCACTATCCAACTTATCCTTTATAAAATTCCTATCTACCCCGATATGCTTCGTTCGGTCATGTTGCACAGGATTATGAGCTATACTGATCGCGGACTTGTTGTCACATAGTAATCTCTGTGGAAAGTCGTTAGAATAGGATTGTATAGCTGTAATTTCCTATTTTATAGGGATTTGATTTGTTTCCTGATTTCTCTAGATAAGGAGTTACCTAATATAGGACTGAAATCAAGGGATTTAAAACCGGCTGTGGTTATCCCTAATTGTATATAAATAGTGGCTGTACAGAATTGTTTTCTGGAATAAGAAGAATTATTCTTTCTCCTAAAAACCTAATCCGGCTCTAAGAATTCTTCATGGTATCAAAGCAAGGCTACTGATCCGGTTTTTAGGATTTTCTTTTCAAGCCAAAACCCTAGTTTCGTTTCAGTCCTCAACCGGGAAAAACTAGTATTCCATAACCCTAGTTTTTGTTTCAGTCATCAACCGGAAAAAAACCCTAAACCTCATGGCATCAGAAACTGACAGCCCTTCAGGAACAATGGCTGGTCAGGACAGTTTTAATGCTGGCCGATCAGAGGGGTCCCTTCTTCTCATCACTCAACACAAGTTGAATGGTCAGAATATCTCCAATGGGCCAAATCAGTAATGATGTTTATCTCAGGCAAGGGGAAGGACGATTACCTCACGGGATTGGCTACTGCACCAAAGCCGAATGACCCTAAGTACAAGATCTGGAAAGCAGAAAATAATATGGTGATGTCTTGGCTAGTCAACACCATGGACGCAGACATAGGGCAGAATTTCTTGTTCTACGACACTGCACATGAAATTTGGATGGCGGCTCAAGAGACTTATTCTGATAACGAAAACACTACTGAATTATTCGAGATCAAGGGGGCACTTCATGATCTACGGCAGGGTGAATCAAATGTCACTCAATACTATAATTGTCTCACTCGTTATTGGAGACAACTGGACATGTTTGATAGTCCGGCTTGGGAATGTCCTGGAGATGCAACCCTCTACAAGAAGATTATAGAGAAAGAGAGAGTCTTCAAGTTTCTTATAGGGCTTGACAAATCCCTCGATGAAGTAAGGGGGAGGATTCTTGGACCCAAGCCACTACCATCCATTCGGGAAGCATTCTCGGAAGTCAGACGAGAGGAAAGTAGGAAGAAACTTATGCTAGGAAGGTTACTGCCCACAGGTAACGAAGCTTCAGCCCTTGCAGAAGAGGAGTCAATGCAGCCCACGACACAAAACAGAAGAAAACTCGGCATTGGTGTGATCACTGCAGGAAAACAGGTCACACTCGAGACACTTGCTGGAAAATCCATGGAAAGCCCACCGATTGGAAGCCAAGTCGAGAAAGAGAAGCTCGGAGTTTTGTTGCAGCCCCCGAAGACAAGGAAAAACCCACAAGCATGGAACCAAGTCTCTTTAGCAAGGAGCAAGTCGAATGGCTGCAGCAAATGTTCAACCAGAATTCCAATCAAGGCCCAACTGTCTCCACGGGATCTGCTGCCCAGAAAGGTATTTTTTCAGCCGCTAATCATGTCAAAACAGCGGACTCCGCAGACTGGATTGTTGATTCAGGAGCCTCAGACCACATGACTGGTGATGCTTCATTATTTCAAGAATGTTATCCTTGCCTTGGAGAGTATAAAGTCTGGATTGTTGATGGATAACTTTCTCCAGTAACAGGAATTGGAAAAGTGGTCATCTCTAATACATTAACTCTTCAGTCCGTTCTTTTGGTTCCCAAATTAACGTGCAATTTGCTATCTGTCAGCAAACTTACCAAAGATTCTAAATGTGTTGCTAAGTTTTCACCCACTTCTTGTTTATTTCAGGTTTTGGATTCGGGGAAGATGATTGGCAATGCTAAGGAAAATCAGGGACTCTACTGGATTAGGGACAAAGCTTGTCCTCACTCTCGGGCCTATCACTCCATGACCTCCTCAGTTCAAAATTCGGATACTTCTATGTTTTTTGATTCAAATAAAGACAGTAGCATTAGGTTACTGCATTTTCGTTTAGGACACCCAAATTTCATGTACTTGGCAAAAATGTTCTCTTCATTATTTATCAATAAAAATCCGAAATTATTCCAATGTGAAGTGTGGCAGTTTTCAAAGCATTGTCGTAGTACATATCCTATTCAAGGGTACAAACCTTTTCATCCTTTCTCAGTCATACACAGTGATATTTGGGGACCATCTCGGATTCCAAATATAACTGGTGCAAGATGGTTTGTATCCTTTATTGATGATCACACCCGAGCCACCTGGGTATTCCTTATGAAAGAAAAATAAGAGGCTGGCCCCCTATTTAGGCCCTTCCACTCTATGATAAAAAATCAATTTCAAGCCACTGTTCAAGTCTTTCGAACTGACAATGCTCGAGAATACTTCAATTCAATTCTAGGACCCTACCTTCTCGAGAATGGCATTATCCATCAAAGCTCATGTACAGATACCCCTCAACAAAATGGAATCGCAGAAAGGAAGAACAAACATCTCCTTGAGGTAGCCCGTTCTATCCTATTTTCCAGTAATGTACCAAAATGTTTTTGGGGGGAAGCAGTTTTAACTGCTACTTATCTAATTAATAGGATGCCATCTCGAATCTTAAAGTTTAGTACACCATGCCAAGTACTTCTCAAAATCTTCCCACAAAGCCGAGTGGTGAACACTATACCACTCAAGGTATTCGGATGTTCAGCCTATGCCCATATTCCCTCTCATCAACGTAGCAAACTTGATCCTAAGTCTCGTAAGTGTTTGTTCCTAGGGTACTCTCCTCATAAAAAAGGGTATAAGTGCTACTGTCCATCCACCAGAAAGACATACATCACTATGGATGTGACCTTCATGGAAAATGTTCCATTTTATTCCAAAACCGCTATTTAGGGGGAGAAAGTGCAAGAAGAATATCAGTTTTGGGATAGCATGATGCTAGATGAACCAATGAGTGATATCACTCCTTTACATCCCGAGGCTGAGAAGGAACTCCTAGTTTACACCAGGCGGAAGAAGATCCCTAAACCAGTAGAACATTCGGAGATTCCTATGCCTTGCCAAGCAGACAACCCGAGTTCAACTCCAAATGAAGTAATACAAGGTAACACTGAATCCGAGCCTTATTCTAAGGATTTGTGCGTGCCTGATGATCTTAC